CAGCAGCAGCAGCTGGCAGCAGCAGCAGCGGACAGCAGCAGCAGCGGACAGCAGCAGCGGCAGTGGGGCCGCAGCGGCTACGGAGTGCAACCCGAGCTGCAGCAGGAGCAACAGCAGCAGCAGCAACAGCAGCAGCAGCAACAGCAGCAGCAGCAACAGCAGCAGCAGCAGGTCACATCGATTAATACTATGCGGCGTCCGCGTACCCGTACGTTAACTAGGACCGCAGCAGCAGCAGCAGCAGCAGCAGCAGCAGCGAGGGCTCTTGCTGCTGCTGCTGCTGCTGCTGCTGCTGTGTTTATATTTAGTAGGTTAAATTGGCAGCCCCGCTGCGCAGCAGAGTGGGGCTTTGCATGCATTTCATTTTTTGCTGTTTGCTGCTGCTGCTGCTGCTGCTGCTGCTGCTGCTTCATTTTATGTTTATTATTAGAATTAGAAATAGAAATAGTTTTTGAAATTGATTTGCTGCTGGAGTTGTTTATTATTTCCATTTGTGTTTTCCTGCTGCAGTTTATTAATTTATTAAGTTTATTATTTATTTATTTATTTATTTATAATTATATTTAAATAATACATTTATTATGTTTATTAATTCATTGCATTGCTGTGTTATTGCATTTGTATTTGTTATTAAACTTGAATTTGTTTATTTTAATTAATTATTTCTTTCTTCTTTATTTAGTAATTGAGGCCAGTGCTGTGTCCTTTAAGTCTGCATTCCTCCAGTCCCTCACCGCTGCACTTGCTGCTGCTGTGTTGCTTCCCGGCGTTCGCGGTTTGTGGCTTCGCCGGGCGTTTTGTCTCTTTTTGCATTAATAAATTTGATGGAAGTGGAAATTGGAAATAGAACTAATCGGCTGCGGTTCCTGCTGCTGCTGCTGCTGCTGCAGCAGCAGCAGCAGCAGCAGCAGCCCGGCAGCAGCGCGAGTTGCATTTGTTTTGCTGCTAATGTGAGTTCAATTATCCGCAAATGCAAAACAGAAAAGACGCAAATGCAAAAACACAAAAAGACTTTTGCGGCGCTGGCGGCGAGCGGAGCGCATGCACGGGGTGTACGTACACCGCAGCAGCCGCCGCCGCCGCCGCCGCCCCAGGGCTGTTTATTTGTGCTCATTTGTGTCCTTTTGAAGAGGATTTATTTGCGAAATTGCTTTTAATTGTATAGATCGCGTCAATTGCATTTAAATGGACTTCTTTGGTGGTCTCCAGGCCCCAGGCAGAGGTGCGCGGGCCCCGCAGTGTACATACACCCCAAGCATGTTCCCCGTGCGGCGATCTGCGCTGTACGTACATGTGTTTATTGTTTATTTCATTTCATTTAATTTCTTCTTCAAGTCTTTCGATTTGGCACTTCGGGCCTCTGCACACAAAGATTCTCCCGCATGCAAGTGCATGCGCGCGCTTGCATGCGCTCTGCATGCATGCGCATGCATGCGCTTGCATGCATGTGCATGCATGCACTTATGCTTTTGCATGTATTTTTCCCCTTGCATGCGAGTGCACTTCTGCACGTGCATGCAGCTGCATGCATGCACTTGCATGCAGCTGCCTGCATGCATGCATGCATTCCCCTTGCATGCATGCGCTTGCATGCATGCGTGCATGCATTTGCATGCATGCATTTGCATGCATGCGTTTGCATGCATGCATGCAGTTGGCGTTCGAGTTTGAATGCGCCGTTTTTGGATTTCTTTGTTTTGCTGCAGTGGCGGTTTTTGAGTTGATTTAAATGTTTTGCAGTTCCATTTAATGCCATTTTTCGGGTCTTCAGCTCATTCTAATTTTCATTTAGGGTTTAGGGTTTAGGGTTTGCTGCCTTGCCCCGAGGGTTTAGGGTTTAGGGTTTGGAGTTCGCTGCCGGGCCCTGAGGGTTTAGGGTTTAGGGTTTGGAGTTCGGAGTCAGTTTTTCGCGCAGCCGCGGCGGAGGCCGCGAGCAGGTCCCCGTGGGGCAGCCAAAAAGCCAGTTGCTAGGGTTTAGGGTTTAGGGTTTAGGGTTTAGGGTTTAGGGTTTGGCTCCTCGCTAAGGCCCCAGGGGGCCAAAGTGACAATTTCTTCTGCTGCTGTGGGGTGTATAGCCACGCAGCGGTCCAGGTCGGCTTTTGTGGCTCCCTGAAAATAAAAAAATAAAAAAAGAAAAAAAAAAGAAAAAAAGAATTAAAAAAAGGAATTAAAAAAGAAATAAAAGGGAGATAGAAGGAGACAGAAGATGTGGAAAGAAATTAAGAGAATAAAGGAGAAAAAAAGAAATTGAAATGGCAGAAAAAGATGCGAAAAAGATGAAAAGACCGAAAAAGAAAAAAGACAAAAAGAAACACCAATTGGAGATTTGATAGACAGAAATGGAGACAAAAGAAAGTCAAAATGAACTTAAATGGCATTTATTTTGGTTTTAAATTGAAGTGGCATTTATTTTAATTGTTTTCGATTTTTTTGTGTTATTTGGAGACAAAAAAGAAGCCAGTAGAGCCCTTGCTGCTGCGGTGTACGTACACCTGGGAGACTCTACTTTCATTTATTTTTTTATATCATTTCTTTGCCATTTTCAACTTTCATTTATTTCTTTTATTTCATTTATTTGCCATTTTCAACTTTCTTTTATTTCTTTTATTTCATTTATTTCATCTCTTCCGCTTCTTTGTTCAGAAGACAAAGTGCAAGTCCTCGTAAACCCTAAACCCTAAACCCTAAACCCTAAACCTCTCAGCAGCAACTTAGTTTGTTTGGAAGCTCCGCGGCCCCTTAAAACGCCATTGGATTGAATTTAATGGATTAAAATGATTAAATTGATTAAATTAAATTGATTTAATTGATTTAATTAAATAAATTAATTTATTTAATTCATTTAATTCATTTAAAGTTTTTTAATTACCATTTTTATGGCCACTGCAAAACCCTGCAAAATTTCGTCCGCGCCCAAACCCACCAAATGCAGGCCCACAATTTTTTCTTTTTGAGACTGCAGAAATAAAAATAAATAAAAATAAATAAATAGAAATAAATAAATAAAAATAAATAAAAATAAATAAATGAATAAATAAAAATAAATAAATAAAAATAAATAAAAATAAATAAATAAATAAAAATAAATAAATAAAAATAAATAAATAAAAATAAATAAATATAAACAAATAAATATAAACAAATAAAAATTAATACGTAGAAATACAAATATAAATTAATTAATTAAAATCAATTAAAAAAATAAGTAAAAAGAAACAATTAAATAAAAGATTTGGCATTTAAAACATCATTTCAAACATTCTACTGCAGAATTAAAGGCGAAAATAAATAAATAAATAAAAGTAAATACATTTAAATAAATAAATAAAAAATAAATTAAAAATTAAATAATAAATAAGTAAAGAGAGACAATTAAATTAAAAAATGGCATTTAAAACATCATTTAAAACATTCTCGAAGAATAAAAAATTATTAAATTCAAAAAAAAATAAAAATTAAAAAAAATAATTTCGCAGATAAAGCAGCACAGCAAATTCGTTTTGTGATATTTCTTTTATTTCATTTAAAAAAAAGAAAATTCATTTTGAGGAGTTTTATTTTATTTTTTAAAAGAATAAAATAAAAAATAAAATAAAATACCTTTAGGCAAATGAGTTTAATGACAATTCTTTTATTTTCTTTTTTGAAAAAACTAATTTAATTACAATTCTTTTTTAAAAAAGAAATTAAAATAAAACACCTTCAGATAAATGAGTTTAATGAATTCTTTTATTTTTTAAAAGACTAATTGTTATAAAAAGATTAAATGCCAATTATTTTATTTTTAAAAGATTAAATTATTATTTTTTTTTAAAAAGAAATTAAAATAAAACACCTTTAGGCAAACGAGTTTAATGAATTCTTTTATTTTAAAAAAGACCAATTAAATGCCAGTTCTTTCATTTATAAAAAAGATTAAATGCCAATTATTTTATTTTTAAAAGATTAAATAATAATTCTTTTTTTAAAAAAGAAATTAAATAAAACACCTTCAGGCAAATGAGTTTAATGAATTCTTTTTTTTTTAAAGACTAATTGTTATAAAAAGATTAAATGCCAATTATTTTATTTTTAAAAGATTAAATGCCAATTATTTTATTTTTAAAAGATTAAATGATAATTCTTTTGTTTTTAAAAGATTAAATGATAATTATTTTTAAAAAAGAAATTAAATAAATCACCTTTAGGCAAATGAGTTTAATGAAAGTCTTTGGCTTTTCTTCCGGAGGAATTTGATAAGCCCCGTACAGCAAATTCACGCAGCTGCCGTTGTACACCTGCACGGCAGCAGCAGCAGCAGCAGGAGCAGCAGCAGCAGCAGCAGCTGGAGTGCAGCAGAAGCAGCAGCAGCAACTGGAGCGCAGCAGCAGGAGCAGCAGCTGGAGTGCAGCAGCAACTAGAGCGCAGCAGCAGCTAGCGCACAGCAGCAGCAGCAGCAACAGCTAGAGCACAGCAGCAGCAGCAGCAGCTAGAGCACAGCAGCAGCAGCAGCAGCTAGAGCACAGCAGCAGCAGCAGCAGCAGCAGCAGCAGCAACAGCAGCAGCAGCTAGAGCACAGCAGCAGCAGCAGCAGCAGCAGCAGCAGCGCAGCAGCGCAGCAGCTGCTTCCGTCGCGATCAGCGCCGCCGGCGCCTCGCGGCGCGGGCAGGCCAGGGCTTAGGGTTTAGGGTTTAGGGTTTAGGGTTTGCCTTTAAGTCTTCTTTTCCGAATTTTTCTGCTGCTGCTTCTTCGGAAAACCCCACACTGCCAATTGGCGGATGCGAAAAAATGACAGAAGGAACGAAGTCGTAGTCGGCCTTTGCATGCGCGAGGTGTCCGTACACCCGGTCGGCCAGCCGCCGTCCCGCGGCGATAGCCATCGGAGTCAGCTCCACCTGCAAACCCTAAACCCTAAACCCTAAACCCTAAACCCCAAACCCCAAACCCGCAGCCCAAACCCTACACCCGCAGCCCAAACCCTAAACCCTAGCGTCTAAAGCCGCAGCCCGCAACCCGCAACT